TTTTTTTTTTTTACGAGAATCGATTAAAATATAAGTGGCACTTAGTACTTAGTCGTACTTAGTGTTGCACTAAAAGCAATTGTAGTAATAATAATAATAGTTGTGGTTTCATTACCTTCATTCTCATATATATATATATATATATATATATATATATATATATATATATATATATATATATATATAATATATATATATATATATATATATATTGTTACAGATAAATAGAAAAACAGATTGATAAACATAACATTTCTACTGGTGATAATAATAATAATGATATATAACAAAGGTAGTAATAATGATAATACCAATAGTAATAATCATAATATTAATAAGATTATAATAAAAATGATAATGATAATGATAATACCAATAACACTAGTATTAATAATTATGGTAATGATAATGATAATAAAAATATGAATAGTAATGGCAATAGGAACAATAATAACCAAACTAATAAAAACGAGTAGTGTAGTGATGGTAATCATGAATACTTGCTGTTATCATTAACATTTTTGCTTCTAATGTCATTATCATTACTACAATTTTTATCATGGCTATCACTTTAATAATGATAGTAACAATAATGAAAATGCTTATAATGATAACAACAACAATAATAATGATTATTAAGATGATAATTATTATCATGACGACGAAAAAGTAATACAGATAATTATATTGATGATAATGATAGTAATCAGGGTAGCAGCAGTAGTAGTAGTAGATGTAGTAATAGTCGCAATAATTATAATAACAGAAATGATAATAATATTATTAATAATGATAAATATAATGATAGTGGTGATAACAAGAAATACTAATAATGATATGATAATGATAGTGGGATAACTATAATAATAGTAATGATGATAATAGTGATAATAATAACAATAGTAATAACAACAATAATAATAATAATAGTAAATAGGAAGAACATGTGTGATGATAACGATGACGATGAGATTACGATGATGATGATGATGATGACGATGATATGATGATGATGATGATAATGATGATAAGATAATGATGATGATGATGAGATGGCGATGGATGATGATGATGATGCGATGATCATAATAATAAGAATGATAATAATAACTATAACAGTAATTATAATATATATGTTATGATCATAATAATGACAAGATTATTAATAATAAAACCAACGACAACAACAAAAGACAACAACGCTGCAAAATCTGGTATTATGATAATCAAAATAATGATAACAATGACATTTAATAATCTTTATA